ATTCCTTCCTGTTTCTCAATAATTACAAGCCTAGCACGTTTTTTGCCATTTTTTAGGTCCGATTGTGAAAGTGATGATGGCAGCACTAAAAAGTTCTGGCTGGTAAGTTTCGTAATGTTAATTAATATATGAGACTTATTTTGCGCTTTTGTACCTATTCTGTATAAAGTTTCTTAAGCACATATTCTTTACAGTCCCATAGATATACGACGACACATTTCTTGCGAAGTTTGTGATTATTCTGTGAGTGGTGGTTATGATCCTGAATTAAATCAGGTAAGAAAATACGGTCTATTTAAATGAATACCTACATACTTGCGCAATAGATAAACACTCCTTATACTTATGAGTGAAAGCAAAATTTGTTCTGAAATATTTAATAATTTTACTTATTTCAGATTGTAGTGTGTCAAAATGTCTCTACTCGCAAAGGAATGGTACAAGGAGTGCTGACCCATGAGATGATTCACATGTTTGACTATTGCCGCAATGAGCTGGACTTTAAAAACATGGAACATCTGGCTTGTACAGAGATCAGGGCTGCCAACCTGACACATTGTTCTTTTGCTAGTGCTTGGTCACAGGGAGATGCCTCTTGGACTAAGATTAAGAAGGCACATGAGGTAAAACTTATTTGTGGCTATTTAATCTTAGAAATAAATCTGTTTACATGTATTCAATATATCGTCAGGGATAGTGCAAATCCATATATGTAGTATCTGCACTAAACCAAATTTTACAGGAGAGAGATTTAACATTATTATTTCAATGACTCCAACTTACATTTTTGCGTAATAACCACTAGTTATGCTGTCTACAGACTGATAACAATAGATCACTGTAAATCACGTTAATTTGGTTGCCACGACATTTATGTGGATTTAATTTGGCCATTAAATTGCTGAAATGAAAACTCATAATCCAATGCTAGTTACATGTAATTGCACTATCTCCGACAATATATAAAGGATTAGTGACTTACAGCTTGGTAGTCCATTAAGTGATTGTACTTGATGTTTAGAAAACATGGATATCACACCACACGCAGATTTTTGATAACTAAAATTTTTTTGTAGGACTGTGTGAAAACTAAAGCACTCTATTCTGTGTTAGCAGTAAGACAGATTGGAAAAGCAGAAGCAGTGAATATTATAGAGAAAGTATTCCCCAAATGTTATGCGGATTTGGAACCAATAGGCAGAAGAATTAGAAGAAATTCCGAAGACATGTATCGTGCTTTTAGAGAAGCATCTTATTATGGGTACGAATAATTTGAATTACTGTTGTTTATTGTAGATAGTGTAAATAATAAATCAAAATAAAATACAGGTTAAATGATTTAAAATAGTGTCTTTTATTTCGTTATTTATTCATTTATTGCCTAAGAAATTCATAACTTTATGTAATACTGTCACTTCACAGTTTAACAATAAATAAATATAATATTTGCAGCTCTGAGGACTGAAAAGGCACAATTTTAAGATCCCTTAATTTACTTTTAAAATTTTTTGTGATGTATATCTTTAATCTTGTGTATTTGTAGTTTAATAATGGAATAATTATTTTTAACTATTCTACAACTGATGTTCTGAATTGTTTTATTATTAAAAGGATTTTTGTGCATAAAAATATTTTGTGCTGCTATATAAGGACAGGAAGTTTTGAAATTCACTTATAGCCTATATATAATATGACTAGATGACGAAGGACATTTGTCATACCCTGAATGGTTATAAACCGTAATTGATATGTTTTATCTACTTCTCAATTTATTCACCATTATACAAAACAGGGATGGTTATACGGAAGTACTGCCAGTTATCTAGTTCGTTAGTAATGTTTTGTAAGGTACCAGGCAAATTAAATAATTCTTGATTCAAGTATGTAAACAATAAGGAACTTTTGGTATCTAAGGTAGTGTATTTGGTATTTTTGGCTTCTTTGAAAGAAAAACATACTGTAAGCTCATCTTTTTGTACAAATTTACATAGTACTATAATTTCATTGCAAAAATAAAAAACAGAAAGCCCTTCATAAAGATATGAGGCCATTATGAATAAAATTCGCTTTTTCTCTAAATGTCAGCCACCTCACAACACTCATTCCGTGCGGTCTTTATTTGAAAAGCACGTGTCTGCTTATAATATTGTAAGTTACAATAATACATTAATTCGTCTTGAGAATTTCATAATAGTCGTATTAATTATGTGTCTATTTACAAAGGCATAGATATAAACAATTACACTTAATATTGTATTAGGGTAGATCATACGATTGTCTTTGTATAAATTAATATCCTCACATATTTACATTATACAATAAGCTTAACTTTTAAGTTAATCAAAATGAGCACTACAGTTATATTAAAATAATATCTTAAAAATAATAACAATCTTATGAGATAGAATAAATAAGTTAATAATGAAAATAGGTAGATAAGGTATTTTAAACAATTCATTTAGTTGTTTTTTATACTGCGTACGACATTAACTTGTGTGAAAATATTGTGAGAGTTTACGTACGTATTATTACGTACATTATATTACGTATTTTTATAGAAAATGCGAGCAAAAGGCGCACGAGTGAAAGAAGGCATTTAGGCGATAGTTTATATAATAACAAATTTTGTACACATTATTGTTATGGTCCCCGTATTGCTCGCTATTTGACATTTAAATACATCTGAATAAAGCTATGAATATTATACGTATGTATTAATTGACCAATATTAAGTTTAATTCAAGTTAAAATCTACGAAAAGCAGTATGCTTAGAAACCGGTAGTTTTTAATTAGTGTTATATTTATTCATATAAATAAAAAAAAACAATGCCTTTTTCATAATCAGCAACATTGTTAAAGACTCTTGAATTAGTCTAACTACGAGTACCGAGAACACCATTCAATTGTACCTATTTTTAAAATAGGTTACTTCACGACGTCGTTCTTAAAAATTACTTTACTTACGGTCAAATAATGTATTGATTATGGGGTCACTTTACAGTAAAATCGACTAGCAATTTGTCTAATATATACATAGGTCACAAGTTTTGTTAGGCACTGATATCACATTCGGCGATGCAATGCAGTTAGTTCCTCCGTCACTTGGGTCCATGTACCGCTCGGTGCGCCTCGTTAAGGTATGTGGTCCAGTAGATTACCGTGAACAGGGAAAAACATATAGGAAACACCATGAGGGCGTATCTATCGAGAGCCCCATGCTGGGCGCCACAAAACATGATGCCTTTGTCCACTTTCGAAGCGACTTGGGCGATAAAGCTTCTTGCTTCCCCGTCCCGCGGCAATGGTTCCAAAATTGGAGAATCCTGTCGCAGAACAATATTTAATGAGAAGTATGTTTAGTTTTACTTTCTATATTTTGTTTAGTTATGCATAAATGAATGATTGATATCTTAATATGCTATCTAAGTTCACCGTACACTATATAGCGCTATAATTTTGAATAGCACTTTTCTAACAGTTCACAAGTCTATATAAATGCATGCGCATAAAGCAGTGCAAGTTTAACCAGGCTACTTTTCTAATTTTATACTACTAATACCTATTTAGTTTGGACCTTTTATTATGTCTCTGACGTATCAGTTCTTTATCATCGATCATGAACAATATATTATTAATATACTACGCTTTCCGTCATCTACAAATACCTACATTGTGTTACTAACCATACTGTTTTGAGCTTAGCCACACAGTGCAGTGTCGACGTTCGTCTTAATCATATTTTTACCTTACTAACAGATCTTGTTTCACACCCAACCTTATTTTGTCTCCAATTCCTTTTGCCCGAGAGAGGTGACTAAAAATTTGCGTCTTTTAAAAATTTTGAACCGAATCGTTAACGAATTTATTATAGTTAAGGTGTAACGTCAATATATAAGCGTCAGATTTCACATGCACATTTGTGAACATTAATACTATATTAAAACACTCAGAGAGAATAAAATCGGGTCATATGGTCACATTGGCTATAGGCAGTGTGTATCGAAGAGCAGGTGTATGTAGTTAGTGATATTTACCCGCTGAATGGTTGAATGCGAGAACTGCTGCTTCATGCCCTCGTCTTCTGATGTTAATTGAGGTGCGAAAACGCCGCCTTGCGGTGGTGTTCCGGTTATAGTCGGCGTACTCAGCCTCTGTGTATTTACAACAGGAGATCATTGGCCTCGAGTGGACTGTACTCAGAGTCGTGAACGAAAATAGTCATATTTATCAAGTGAAGTGACTAAATGTATGTCGGATAGTCTAGGTAAGTGTTTTAGAAACTAGTTCGTTCTACATTTCGAACAGTTCGTAAGTATTGGTTGACTGATACTGGTGTCGTCGCAAAAGCTCAATAATGATGTAACGTTTGAGATCAAGATTTTTTCCAGACTACAGGAAAATTATGGTATGAATCTAGTGCTTCAAAGTCTAATCTACGTGTGAAAAATGAGCAAATAAAAGACTGAATAACTCTGACCTGTGAGTGGTTGATGTGTAGAGGCTGGGCTAACTGCACAGCAGAAGCAACCCGCCTTAGCTCCTGGCGTCGCTCGCACCAGCTTTTGTCGTATCGGATACCGAACAGCACCACGAAGTACTCCATAAGCGCCAAAAACACGAATATCGTGCACGAAATTAACCATACTTCGATGCATTTCAGTTCCAGTGCATCCGGAGAGTTGGTGCTAAAAGAGTAATATCTATTTTGGACGAGTGACTGTGTTAGATAAAAATAAAGAAACTTGGAAAAATAAAAACTTCTACTTTAATGACCAAGTATTTGGTCGTAAAGCAATATTATAGAGGGTGTACAGATGAAAAAGTTTACCTGACGGTGTCAAACATGGTGACAAGCGACAGCAGCGTGGTTACGAGCAGTACCATGCGACCGGGGACGATCTCAGGAATGACGCAGAAGCTGCCCCAAGAGATGATGACGAACAGTGACGAGGGCAGGTAGCTTTCCAGCAGGTACCCTCGCAGCTCCCGCGACAGTATAATCTGTAGTCGCGCTTCCGAATGCTCACCTACAAAATAATAATTTTAACTTCGATCCTTAGCAATTAGTACAAATATGAAACTACTATTCGACACTAGCACTAAACGACAACATAAAGGACACTACGACACTATGTACAAGACACCAAATAATTACCAGTACCTACAACTTGATGAAGCTGGCTATATATATTGTCCACCTTAGTATTTTATCCTAAGATTTGATAGTTGCTTAAGTGCTCTGTGAAACCCAGTTACGGAACAACAAAGTACCTACAACTAGTTAGCGTCTAAATACAAACATACAGCCAATGTAAGGAATAAATAGATAGATTGGGTAAATAAGCTTTTACCTGCCATTGCGATAACATCATATTATTATCAGGTGAGTAACGACCAATGCGGAAAAGTACATTCAGAATATACAAATACAACACTAACACTATTCGAGCACGAACATAATAATAAACAACATTAAAATTTTATAAAAAACATTTCCGCTCGGCACAGATGTTTACGCCAATTATTTCTGATGTAACCGTTCTTTATTGAAAACTTGAAGCAATCATTACGATAGAAGAGCGTTTGAATGATCATCCTTGCCGAGCGGCGGGCGTTATGCCAGCAACAGCAGCTGAGCGTCAGTGGATACCTACGTGGTTAGTTTACAATGTCGCAACGTAAGCGCAAAGCAATAAATATACATTTACCTTCACCAAAATTGCGAATATGATTACTTTTGTCCGTGACGAAGGTGACTACGTATTTAGGTAGGCGGAACTCTAGCTGCTGCGGCACCATTCCTAGCCCCATCCACATATGGTCCACGTCGCGCCATTCGAAACGGACGTCTTGTTTCGTGTATTTATCTGGACAATTACAATATGTGTTTTTTTTTATTGGTGATTCCACCACAAAGATTTTGCAGCCTAGAAAAGCATAGCATCTTCACCATTAACCCGTATGTGCTGACCAGTGGTGAGCACGGAGCACTAAATACAAGCTATATTAAACCATAGTTTAAAGCTTCCAAGTATAAGAGTAGTTAACCTAAGCTCTTTGGTGGGAACGAAAAGGGTACCTATACAAGTATAGGGGAGACGTACCAAAATTGGATACGTGCACAATAGTGGTTACTCCGTTATAATGAAAACTAAACAACACCATCTTTATTTAAAAACTAGAACTACTTCGTCAATGTAAATTACCACCAATATTTTGATAGTTGCCTGCGGCATTTTTGCCTTCAGTCCGCTGTATCCATTCAAAGTGTATTTTTCCGTTCCACGATTTTTTCCAATCTTGATTTCAAAACGCTGTACATTGTAAAGTACTGTAAATGATATTATATTTTGTGACAGTGTTATATACTAGCTAAGAGCATAGTTAGAATTCAGAAATTACGCATTTTAGCGATAAATGCGCAAATTGAAATTTTCTTAACCGATTATTGTACAACTAGGTTACATCAATTTTGGATACCTATGTATCCACAATACTAGATATCCGATATTGGGGTACCTACATCACTGGTAGTATAGTGTCTTTCATATTCAAATGTTTAATTATTTGTTTAGATGGGGGATCATTAAAAAAGATGACCGTTTAGATTTTTTGCCTACTGCTTTCGCAAATTTAAAAGGATCATTTAAATACATGCCCTGGTTAATAGAGTGTATTCTATACTGGATATCCATTATTAGGGTACATGTGAAAACATTGTTGATTTTTCTACTTAAACCAAAATAATTATATAAAAAATAAATGAACACATACCTATATAAGTTTAATTCATTTTCTAATGTAAAGCCTTTAGATAGACAATGACTGTGACTGCAATAAATATACATTTCTTAATATTATATTAGTGTTTTTTTCGAATGTTCAAAAAATATCCGATATTTGGTACGTCCTTAGTCAAAAGGAAAATTGGGTCATTTCATTTGCGTTATAAATTTTGTAACAAATTTGTAGTAGGTAGTTAATCTCTTCCATGAGATTTGTGACGTACAGGAAGTGCCATAGGCGATCATGAGATCAAGAATAATATTTTTGTTATTCGCACTATTTTCCTAAAGACATTGGCCGAATATAGCGCAATGCTCTATCTATACAGATTTTGCAATAAATGCCGTAGCAACAACTCGGTCGCATAGTAAGGATGGTAATCGGTAACAGTGATTTGGTAAGATAGGTTTCTCGTATTGGTTTGAACTATAGGTCTTATGATTGATTATACATGTTTAAATAATCGCAGAATAACTACAGTTTTCAATTCACCTTCTACAATCGTAATGAAGTTACTATTTAATACATTTTCACCAAATAAGTTCTGTCAAAAACAAGTTCCGTCAACATTCTTGGTATATCATTTTGAAATAACATAATCTTGATACTTACAGCTACTAAAATCTATAGCACAATTCTGTACATCTAATGGATACAGCACGAAGTCCATCTCACACTTTATTGTGATAGTCGCCCTGAAACATAAAGTAGGTAATCACTCTACATACAACAATTTGAAGAGACCAGTTAATGACTTACAGTCGTAATAATAATTCATAATAATATTTTAGACGTCGGAACACAGAATTTAACGTCGTTACAAGATTTATAAACTAAATGTACGTACTTTGTACGTTGTTCTATTACTCTCGAGACTACAATGAAACGTCGTGCCAAAACAAACAGCTTAGAAGTAGCATTGGAAATGTTTTCATGTTTCTGAGGTGTAAGAATAGTTAACGAGTTAATTACGTGACGCATGTCTCATGAAAAACCTGAATAGTCAAATCAAATTTATGGTGTAAAATGTTCACAGTATTGGTAATAAGTTTTCGAATCGATAAATTGAATGTCGAAGTCGAAATTCAAATGTAAAGATAGAAATGGACGAACCCAATACTGACTGAGACGGTGCCGTTGCTATAAAGTCTCAAGGAGGCCATTTCCTGGAGCACGGAGAGAATGCGCATGGTCTGCAGTTGCCAGATATACAGGTCCGGAGTCCAGATTAGCTGGCGGAACTCCCAGGGCAGGTCGATGAACGGTCTCCCGTGTGGGACGTGCAGCCTGTGCTCCTGCCATGAGACTTGCAGGAACACGTCTAGTGTTATCTCCTGTAAAAAAGTTTGAATAATCATTTACGATTGCAAATAAACATCAAAAAAGATTGTTCTTATTCAGATCTCTAACATCAAAAAGTTTATTCCTGTCGTGTAATCTTGAAAATTACACATTACATTATTAGATGAATATCTAAGTCGCTATGAGTCATTACTATTTCATCAATCTTAACGCTTTTAATATAGAATATGTATTACATATGAAAATAATAGTCGGAAAGATATTTACATCCATCACTTTGAACTGATCTAATTTGTTATGTGTGAAATTGCGTCAGCAGAAGATCAATGCGTTCCTACACGGCGGTTTACCACGTCTCTCATTCATTGCCAACATGTTACGGCAAATAGTTTAAGTGGTCATCAAAACGATGCAGTTAATTTACAAACAACATAGTGCATACAATTATACATACGTACTTGTTCCTCCTGTGTGTCTAGTTGCCAATAAGTCATGTTCGTTAGTCTTGTTTAATATTTTAGATGACTTGCCTATATTTAGGGCTTGCAGAACCGGTCCGGTTCCTAAAAAGCTCTGTGCTCAGCTCAGTACTCTCGGTATTCCCGGTTTTTTTTGAAAAGCTTAAACTGTCTCTAGTAAGTATGCTTTTTCCGGGTTGGCCGTACGTATTCAATGATTTACGTAATAATAATACCATAAATAATAAAGAAATACTTCATTCTCGAGTCAAATTAAAGGTTTTTATTTAAAATATTTCTATTTGAGAGATAATTACTGTTATCGTAATTATCACTCAAAATATATATTTTTTTATAACGTATTATCGTAAAATCATTTCAATCATTGTAGTTTAGTAATAACTTTAATTTATAACTTTAATTGTCGTTTAGTATTAACTTAAGTAGCATTATAACGTGCGCCCGTGTGAAGTTGCCAACAGGCGATATTACTCAAAGCTTTATAGGTAGGTATGTAGTTCCTTGTTATAACTGGGAATCTACAATCGCGTTACTGACTGATTGCACCTCGCCAGTACCGGGATGTCCCGGTATTTCTGGAACCGAGTATTCCCGGGAGCAAGCCCTGGCTTATATTGCTTACGCTAATCTTCGCGTAAGTATAAAGACACTATGAAATAGTTACAATATAATTTATGAATGTATTTTAACACGTTTTTATATTTGCATTTATCATGTATTGTATATATTGAAATTAATAACATTACCTCTTTATTTTCGTCGACTCCGGATACTCTGTTGATGCCCAGTCCAATGTATACTGTTGTGTTTTTGCCTGAAACAGTCGAAGAACATATTTGATTCGTGTGTTAAAGGAAGGCAGCTAAGGAATAATTATATTTGTAAGTTTTATAGTCCGCGACAATGGAGATATCTCCAGCTCGGTGCTTCGTTATATCTTTGCCAACTTTAGCGTAATTTTGCAAAGTAAACAAAATGTTGTGACCCCGTAGCATGAGATATTTATTGATTTTACTTGAAGGATTTTTGCTAGTTGTCTCAAGAAAATGTAGTCTAGACGTGTAAAATAATAATTAGTAAAATTTTGTAACTTTTTGTTTTGTATTTACATTTTTTTTGTGGTTAATACTAGTACGATTTTTGTCAAGTGTGTGGATTAAATAGATACCTATTTCAATGTAGTGCGTAAATTTTCTTTTTATTTGATTTTTTTGAAAATTTGATTTAATGGGATAGTGTATAAAACATATTTTATTTACCTCGA